TGCGATATAGAGCGAGGAGGGATCATGTCTAAAAGATACTCCCGCTGCCGGTCCGCCAGGCTCGACGCTTTGTGGCCCCCGATCCCGGCGTTCAGGTAGGCGATGTTGACTCCTGGGAGAGAGGACGAGAGAAGGGGTGAGGAGGGCCCTGGAGCAGAGGCCGCCGGCCCCCGACCCACCTTCCCTTCTAGCTGTCCAGGGGTATCTCCCCCCCCTTTATTCGGCTGTGAAATAAAGGGAGGGACCACGCTACTCGGAGGGGAAATTAAGAAGAGACCGATAACATCAGGCATAAATGCAAACGGGTTGCCCTAGAATGATCCTGCTGGACTACAAACCCCATTGTCTTTGGCCACTTTACAGGCTGATGGGTGTTTGAATTCTAACAATGGGGTAGGAAGGGCTACTCCTGCCCCATCCCCTCTTTTCACGCTTTCCTCGGCTGCCCCAGAGGTGAGCAGGTCCCTCGGCCCTCCTTCTGGCTCCCCATTCGTTTCGCCCCCATCTTTACCTGGCATGCCGAGGAGGCCGCCCGCCACGGAGAGCTGGGGGGCCTGCGCGAAGGTGGACAGCATGGAGCGGGCCGAAGTGGGGATGCCGCGCTGAAGGGTGCTCTGCGGTTGGGGCGCCTGTGGGGTGAGCGGGGGGGGGGGAAGAAGACAGAGCAGCGTGTCAATGCTTGGCCTACAGAAAACATTTGGATTTTCCAGCAGCGGCGCAGAGGGCCGGTGCCATTTGGGGGTCGCCCCTCCTCGACGGCCCGGGATGGAGTGGGACCATCTCTCTGTAGGGGGACCAGAAGCGCCGCTCCAGACCCAACAGACCGGGTTGTCAATCAAGAGACGGCGCCTTCAGAAAGGGTTAGGGGCCCATTTGAGAGCTGCCGGGCCTGCTATGGGTTGTGCAAGGGGGAGGGCTTCAAATCGCTTCATTCCGCCCGCAGGTCACTGTCCTGGTGCTCCCGGGGAATTCCGAGGCTTCACAGGAGGCGCAGTTCTCTGGGAGGCGCTCTTTGTAGCGCCTAACGGGCAAGGAGATGCTGTGACTCCCTGGAAGACAGACCATGCCAAGGAAGCCCTTGGACAGTTTCCTTGTTTTTGAAAGGATACGGCCACCAGTGGTGCTTAAGAAGGTCAAGAAAAGGGGTCTGTAGACTTTTGTTTTGGGGGTCTTACCTCCCCGGATTTTGCCTGGGGCATTCCTGGCCAATTCTGGGAACTGGAGTCCACCCCCACCCATTCCATATCACCCATCTTACTGGGACCAAAGGTGGCGAGACATACATTTCCGGTCCCCAACCCTTACCTGCCGGTCTTTAAAAAAAATCAAGATGAATGGGGGGCATGCACTTTGGTGTAAAAGGAAAACACACTTCTTGGGGGTGGGGTGAAATTCTCTAGCTCTGTTCATGAGCAGCTGCTTTGTAAAACACCGTCAAGCCCTTCACTGTACATGCATAGTAATAAACCCCAATTTCGGTTCCTTACTCGCCGTAGGCAGCTTGTTGGGTTAGCTCGGTAGGAAAGAGTGCGGCAGATAGAGAGCCTCATCGAGAGGCACAAGGGTGTGGGAAAGAAGCGAACGAACTGTTTTGTCGTTTCCCAGGATGCAAGAGAGACACTAGAGAATCTACCGCAAACTTTGCTGAAATGACAAGCCCTTCCCTTCAAAAGACTGCTTATACTTTGGGAGGTCGAGGGATACAGGGATGCGGACATGACGTTTTCAGATTATTTCTGGACTACAAATCCCACCGTTCTCCATTCCGGGAATCCCCAGGGAGCCCTGACCTGGCGGAGTGTGTGGTGTCGCATGATGTTCTCCTGTTTGCTGACGTTGGACACGCTGGCGGGAGCGGCGGTGGGGGACAAGGCCGCCTGCTGCTGCAGCCGCTGCTCGATCTCCTGGAAGGGGGAAACGAGAGAGGAAAGACGAGAGTCAAGGGCCTGGCCATGCTGAGACCGCCGGGTGACGGCCCCTAAACCACCCCCAGCAATCCCTGAAAGGGTCTCTCCAGAAAGGCAGCCCTTTCTCCCCAGCCATGCGCCCCACGTGGCTGCCAAGTCTGGTTTCCTTTGGAGAAATGTTTCCTGGAGGATCCCCACCGAGAACCTTCTGGCTGCCTGCAGAAAGCGTCGTCCCTAGAGGCGCTGAACCCTGGCGCCCAAATTTGACATCATCCTGCGCAGACTCTCCATCCTCATAGGCACCATTTGTGAGGACAGGGAACAGGGCCTTCTTGGTGGCTGCTCCCGTGAACCCTGCAGTATCTCTTCTCCATGGAAAACTAGACTGTAGCTCTCTCCCAGTGTCTCGCTGGCCACCAAAAGCCTCTTCATTCCAGTGTATTTTTCAGCTACAGAGCGGCGTTCAGGGAAGGCGCATCTAAGGAAAGGCTTGAATGGCTTCTAACTCCCTTTTCTGGGTTGCACAGTGGACTAAGACTCAAAGGACCTGGGTTCAAATCCCCCAACCCACCTCCTCGGCCACAAAACTCACGGCGTGAGCTTGGGCGCCCGTCATACTGTCTGAGCCTGACCTACCTCACAGGGCTGTTGTGAGGATAAAGGAGGGAGAGGAGAGCCATGTACGCTGCCTTGAGCTCGCTGGAGGAAAGGCGGGATATAAACGTTAATCAATGAATAATAAAGAGAATCCATTTAATGCTATTTTAGTCTTGTAACTTATTAGGTTTCTTCTCTCTCTCTCTCTTTTTAAAAACCATGCTGGGTGTTGCCTTAAGCCCCAGCACTGGGAGAGAGACAAGACGTAAATAAAAGAGATAAGAATAATGGTGCTGGTGATGATGATGGTTAGCTCAGAGATTTAGATCTCTGGCTGCGGAGCCAGAGGTTAGGAGTTCGGTTCCCCCACTGTGCCTCCCTGACAGACTGGGCTGGATGATCTATAGGATCCCTTCTAGCTCTGCAGTTTTAAGATGTTGATGGTATGTGAAAGCAAAAGGAAGGCCTGAGTGAAGATTTTAAGAGACAGAGGGGGAGAGAAAGAACTCTGTCCCAGCTCAGCCGGAACTTGCTGCCCCGGCCCCACCATCAGGTAAGGGGAACTCACCTGTTCCTGCTGCAGAGCTTTGACGAAGGCGTTCTTCAGCCGGTTAGTGTGCTCGGCCTTGAGCGCCTTCTTCTGGTTGGAGGTCATGCACTGCTCGCACAGGATCTTCCCGTTCTTCTCCTGCTTCCAGTGCGGGGTGAAGTCCGTGCGGCACTGGGCGCAAACGAAGGGGTCCACCCGTAAGAGGGAGGCGCAGCCTTTGCCTGGAGGGACGGAGAAAGAGGGAGATTCTGACAAACGATCCCAATTCGGGAGGGGTGGACACACCCTCTAGAACCTGGCGCTTCAAGGTGTCTCCCTGGATCCCAACCTTGGGTGTCCTGGTGGGTCCTTGGACGACCACTCCCAGAAACCTCAGCCAGCACAGCGAGGGGTGAAAAGGCTTCTGGGAGTTACAGTCCGAGAACATCTGGGCACCGAAGCTTCGGAACCGCTGCCAGGAGGTGTGGATTTGTGTATTACGCTAATAGTTCCCCCATGGAACAAAATGTTCTTTCCCACGAGGCACCACGGATCGCCCCTCCTGTTTAATCCCGAAGCCATTATTTCGGTGTTACTTCCAAGCTCTTCAATCCTATTTCTAAATTCTGGGGCTGCTTGTCGGAGGCTCCCACTTAACTTCTTCTGTATTCCGCATAGTCTGTGCTCTCCCCTCTTTTGAGGTCCCCCCCATCACTCTGCTTACCCCCCCACCCTCCGGATGCAGCGAATCCCTCACCTTGGCTGTCGATGACGCTCTGCACCACCTCTTCCAGCCCCACCATGTAGATGAACTCACTGTTGGCGGCGCTGGGCAGGAAGTGGAGCAAGGGGGCCGGGGGCTTGGGGGGCGGGATTTCCAGGAGGGTCTTTTCCAGTTGCTTGCGCAAGGCGAGCTTGGCGGCGGCCTGGGAGTTGGCCGCGTCGTTGAGCGTGCTGGGGCTGGGCAGGGGCGACGACACTCGGTTCACGGTGCCCGGCTGGATGTGGGAGGCCAGGTTCATGTAAATGGCAGAGGAGGTGGTACGCGGCTGGCAGGGGACCGCCGAGCCGGACTGCTACGGAGGGAGGGAAGAAGTTGAGAAAGCTGAGAAAGGTCCTCCCCTCCTCTATCGCTCTGCCCCTCTGCTGCCCATCTTGCCGACCCCGAAGGGGGGGTCCTCACCTCCCACAAAAGGGCTCATGCACAGAAGGCCTAGAGACCACTAGCTTTGCAAACCAACGACTGCAGGAGGGATAATTTACATTAGGGTGTCACGTAGAGGAGAGAGAGAGATAAATCCTTTCGGATGTGATAAAATCACCCCAAAGTCCGTAAACCGATCCAAAGACAGCAGAGCTTTTTGGCGGCCACTTGGGGGGAGCGTCTCCCGCCCCACACCCCTCTCCGTTCAATACCCCACGTTCAACGTGCCCCACAACGGAGGCAACCGTGGCACTCACCGGCTGGTAGCTGATGGCGGGGCTCATGCTCGGGGTGGTGGTGCGGATGAGGCCCGGTTTCGGGGGGATGCGCTGCCCTTGGAGCTGGGTGGGGTTCGGCGCAATGACTCGCTGGGACATAAGCATGTGGGGGAGTGTGGTGTTGCTGGCGGACCGGATGACGCTGTGACCCTGGCCGGGAAGGAAAAGCACACGGCAGTCAGAGCGGGGAAGGGGAGACAGAGGGGCCTCTTCCGCCATGTGTCTTGGCGCTACCACTCCCACGCAGGCACATTCTGGGGAACATGCCTGATCCCCAAGTCAAAACCATGGCCATCCAGTTGGCAGTTACATCGGGAAGCAACGACCTTGCTTTTATCGCTTGCAGCTTTTAAAAATAACTCACCCCTGATGTTCATTCTTGAAACTGGCTCATTATTATAGCCTTATTCTTATTAACTTATTTATTTAAAATACTTTTAACCTTCCTTTCTCCTAAAAAGGACTCAAGGCGGCTTACGGTGTGTGTGTGTTTATAATTTTAACTGTTTATATATGTGTGTGTATATATATGTACACACACACATATATACACATATATTATGTGTTATTATGATATTCCGAAATTGAACGCATATTAAAAAAAACAGTAGATGAAAACAGTTTTAAAAACATCAGAAACACGACAGTCTTATTATTTGTTACTTGCAAATTACTTCTCGGACAGAAGAACTGCACACTGCTGCTAAGAAAACTATCATCTCCCAGAACGGTCACATTGGGCATTTACTCCAAGGAACAAGTGTCTCAAGTGGTAGAACAGCAAAAATGGGCCCCCCCTCCTGCTGTTGGGGGAACCCTGTACCTGTAATGTCCGGAGGTTTTGGGGCTCCACCCCTTGAGCTCCAGGCCGCGAGGGAAATTTAGACAGAGCCTGCTGTCCGGCGTGGGCAGGAGACGGCTGGACGATGGAGGCTGCGTTCTGGACAACGGGGGCCTAGGAAGAAGGACACCCCAGGCATTATGATGGAGAGGAGCACTTCTGGAATTTGAGATGCCTGGAGCTGAGCATTTTCTGGATTGAGACGGGAGGCCACGTTTATGCTGGAATCCAGAAGGGACTCTTCGTGATCAAAAAAAGGAAGGTCTGCCCAAACCTACGGCTGCTGGAAGGGGCTCGGAAGGACCACTCGGCATCTCATCCTTTTCTCTGGCCCTCTCAAGAGACGGAGGTGCGCTTGCTACGCAGGTACCTTAGCGTTCAAGCCCTGCAGGAATCCAATGGATTGATTCCGCCCCGCCCCCAAATTAAGCATCCTCCAGAAACCTAATGAACCAATGAAGAAACTGAACGGCACGAAGAAACTCTATTTCTTATGTTGCTGAATGACCGCCTTGCGGAACCGTCTGCACTAGTTCCGATGATGAAAATCACGGGTTTTTCAACAGGCTGCAGGAATATGCAGAATCACAGAATGATGGAGCGGGAAGGGGCCCCGAAGGCCATTGAGTCCAACCCCCGGCTCAAGGTAGGAGTCCAAATCAAAGCAGATCGGACAGAGGATGGTCCAAGTTTTGTCTTGAACGCCTCCAGCAGTGGAGCGCTCAACACCTCTCGAGGTCCACTGTCGTACTGCTCTAACAGTCAAGAAGTTTTTTTTCCCTGACCTTCAGCCTAAATCCGGCTTCCTGTAACAGAAGACGGCTCTCGCAATATGCGACCCTTAAGCTCTGTCACAATGCCACTGGTGCCTGTTATGTTTACACAGGGAACTCAATTCTGCGCCCAGGGCTCTGCTGACGGGGGCGGCTGCAACCAGTAGAGTGGGGGGCGCACCTAAGCTCTATAAGGGATGCTAGTGAGGCAGGACAGCCTAGCCTGGTGAGACCCAGGCGTGTCGGAGGAACAAGGCCGGCGCCTCCTCACCTTCTGCACCACGTTCTCCTTCTGCAGCTGACTTTGTCGGAGTTTCTTCAGCAGCACCAGCCGGGCCTCTTCCAACCTGAGCTCATCCCGGAGCTGTTTGATCAGCTGCTGCCGCTCTTCCAGGCCTTTCCCCTGTGCGCGCGCACACACACATACAACACACAAAGAGAGAAAAGATTTGCTTGCTTCCTTTTCCTCGGTCCTTAACGTCAAGGCTTCACCCCGTCTCCCCCCCCCTACACAAAAGCAATCCCCCCAGAAGGAGTATTCTGGGAAACCAAAGGGGGCCTTCCCTTCATTTGGGGCCACATTTCCGGGGAACGGCGGCCGCCTCCGGGTGGGATCCTGGTACCCCAAAACTGCTCCTGTTCAAAGTCGGCTGCGAAGGGAGGAAGGCAGCCACCCCTTGTCGCTGCTCGAAGAAAAAGAGAGAAGGAAAAGCATAACGCCACCAGCGACTGACCTGGGACGGAGGAGGCTCTTACCTTGAACATCTCCAGATTGGCCGCCTTGACTCTCTCTTCCATGCGGGAGCCGGAACGAGGGCTCGAGGCCTCGTTGTCAGAAAGGACGATGATGTCTGGCGAGGGAGTGAGTTGGCCCCGGTCCTGATCGCTGCCGGGTTGTGAAAAAAAAAAGAGGCAACGGGTAAGGTGGAGAGCTGGGGTAGAAAAGAAGCCTGAGATGCCTATTTCTCCTGAACCAGAAGGTCAACGCACAAGGGAACCGAGACCACAAAATGTTTCACAGCCTGGTGGTGGTGGTGGGTCAGACTTGGCAGCAGTTATTCCACCCACCTTGTTTCCGTTCTCAAGCATCTCCACCACCCCATCCCAAGGAAGGATCAATAGACAGACAGACAGGCGGACACCCCAACACCTGGGATGTTGTACGGTTGTGTTCAGACCTCCCTGGGGAATTCAGTGTGCAGGCTGCTGGCTGCAAACACCTGGGGGTGAGCCCTTGTGAATTTGAGGCCACCTCCCTCAAACTGAGTCTCCCGCCTCCGTAAACTAAAAAAACGGGAAAGCCGCTTCGCCTCCTTTTCGTGGAACACTGTGCCCGCTGGCCCAAGTCCAGTCTGTATCCAAAGCTCTGATTTCGCACCTAATCGGAGAGGCTTCACAAAAGGTTCATCCGACCTGGCCAGAGGTGTGAAAGGCGCATTTCTGTAGCTCGAAACCTGGGGTTCCCAACCCCTAGAGGTTCCTGGACTCAAACGCTCAGAAGCCTTCATCGTGAGCCGGATTGGCCAGGATGTCTGGGAGTTGAAGTCCAAGAATCTCTAGGGACCCAAGGTTGGGAATCACAGCTCTAAACAGCAGATGGTGTCGTACTAGAATCTGAGTCCTATTTGGAGAGGGAAACAAGTGAATCCTTCCTCTCCCCTTTTCAGAACATTTATACATTCAACAGCATTCGATAGCTGGGAGTATTAATTCACCGCACATTTTAAGGGCGCTGGAACAATTGAACTAGGGTGAAAACACAAGCAAACCTCCCAACGGTGGTTGAAAACTCTTAGGAGAGCCTCACACAGGCCGACTGTGCAGGCCGACAGACGTTACAGGTACCGCCAGCTGACAACAAACCTTTTAAACCACAGAGACGGTCAGGTAAAGTTACAAGGTTGGGTGACGGAGCGGACGGAAAGCCGCACTATCTTGATGGTTGCTTGCGATTTAAAGCATCCGGGACCAAACCAGTCTTATAGATAGCTATCCCAGCTAGTCACCTGTGGGGAGTTGGGACTATCTTGAGAAGATCAGGCAGGAAAAGGCAATAAGAAGTTGGTCCTCTTTCTTTCAGAGAGCAAACCACTGACCTAAGCAAAGTTTAGCGGTTTGAACTTGTTGGAAAGCCGCACTGTATTTATCTGGAAAGGTGAGTAAACTAAGAGTCTGGAGCATACACCAGGAGAGGGAGGGAAAGCCACATTATATATTTTTAAAGACTGTCTTATCAAATTGAGCACAGCCCGTAGGCCTCGAATTTCAGAGCCGTTCCTGGTGAACCCCACCAAATAATTAGCCAGGGGTCAATTCCTAATCCTCAATTAATATGCAGGCGGGGCAATGGATCTACTCAAGTATTTTTCTTGCCAATGAAAATGCCAAGCCACGTTCTTACTCTGGAACGTCTCGAGGAACCCAGATTCCAAACCGATCAAAGGGGGAAAAACGGCAGATGGCAGAAATTGACATCAGAGATGCTAAGAGAAAGAAAATTCAGAGAGGAAACACAAGTCTTCAAATTGTACTACGTGATACCACCCTGAATATATCCGAGAGCTATCTAATTTTGGAAGCTCGGCCAGAGTTAGGTGCGGCTAAGGCTCGGGCAGGTGATCACTGAGGATCTAAGAAGGGGTTAGGAAAGGACCCTACTTAAAATCCTGGAGAGCGACAGCTGTCAGTCAGAGTTGACGGTGCTGAGCGAGATGGAGCAAGGGTGTCACTCTGCACAAGGCAGGCTTCTACATTCCTACTGGAGGTAACTACCTGAACTCCACGTTCATGACACACGGAGGAAAGAAGGGGTTGAGGGGGGAGATGGAGCAAACTGGGACCTCTGGAAGAGAATCCAGTGGGCTCCCAAAGTGGCCGCTGCTTCTGGCCACATCACCGGAGATGGGTGATGTGCTCCAGCGGTAACCGAGGGCCGCCCGATGCGGGGATTGTGACATCACAGAGAGAGGCTCGGTGGCAACCAGGGTTTTCACCGCTGGCCTGGCTTGGCCCACTGCACTCCCACAAGCTAAATTCGGGGGGCCAGACATGCGCCCTCCGTGTGTGCACGGGGAGGAAGGACCTCCGTGAAGGTGCACAACATCTGCACGGGGGACACGCGTTATTCCTGGCGCAAAATTCCTTCGGAACGTTCCAAGATTTCGGGCGGGGTGGGTTCTGTTGGGCAAGGCTTTTCTCAAAACTGGGGCGGGTGGATAAGAGAACCAGGAAGAGGGTTACGTAGGCAACGAGGTTTCTTCGTGGAGTCCACACAAATCATGCATGCAAGCCCAAACACATTTCTTCCAATTTTAAGCCTTGGAAAAATTGTAACTCTTCTGTCTTGTGCATTTGCAAACTTCTTGCTGCGGTCTAGAGGACTGAAAAGTGGGCTCCCCCCTCCCCCCAGAGAAAAACAGAGAAGAGGCAGGGCTTCCATCAAACTAGAATTCTGAAGAGGCCCGATGACATGTTATATAGAACCCACCTGAATTATGGGTATCCTAAAGAACTAACATCAGCATCAGCATTTTAACATGGCAGAGTTGGAAGGGACCCCATGGGTCATCAAGTCCAACCCCTGGTAAGGAGGCCCAGTGAGGGGGGGTGTAGATTCGAACTCCAAACGTCTGGCTCCACAGCCACAAACCCAACCCCAGTAAGCTATCCAGCAGTTCACCCTTCTTACACACAACTGCTCCAGTGAGACCCACACGGCTCCACGCTCTTGTCTCCATGAGGACCAGGAACTTGAAGTGCCTTTAAAAGAAATCTCCTGATGCGAAAGCTGAACCTGCTGGGCTTCCTGGCGCGCACGCACGCACGCACGCACGCACGCACGTGGCACAAACACACACACATGTATTTGCTTCAAAGTGTGTCTGCATTTCCTGTCCAACATGGTGGGATTAAATTGCAGCACAATTATTTGTACAATTACGGGGTTCTATGCAGAAGGGTTTCTGCAGGCAGGAGCAGCTGGGAGAAAGCTCGCAATCCTGTCTCTCTCCTTTCTTTTGACAGAGATGTCAAATTTTATCTGTGGGAGTTGTGTTGGAGGAGGGAAGAGCAACGGTGGCGTCTGCTGCCAGCTCTTCCTACTGCAGATGGCTTCTGTTGCTTTCAGAAGAGGAGGAACGAAGGGTGTACAGCTTTATCATCTGTCAAGAAGGGGAACGCCGCTTCAAAATTTAACTTGAGAGCTGGGGAAAGGCTCTGCTCGCCCCCAAAACGTCTTATGTCGGTCGGCCCCTCTCTCCCGCCCTCAGAAACTTCCAGGCAAAGCTGGGGTGGACCGTCTGCTGATCATCCTCGTCCTGATTTTAGAAGTCCTCCGCCGGTGGCATTTTTTTCAGACCTCGAGGGAAGAGCTGTCTTTTTAACCAACCCCACCCCGGAGGAGGAAGATGGAGGGAGGGGGAGAGAGAAAGAGAAAGGAGGGGACATAGAGAGAAAAAGTACTGACAGCAAGAAAGGAAGGAAGGCAAGAAGGAAGGAACTGGAGAGAAAGAGATGGCCCCACCTCTTCTGGTTCTGGCTCCGCCCACTGTTTAAGCCCCACCCACTCCTAGCATGCAGCCCCTGATATGATTCTCTATAAGGGAATCTGAGCCCTGAAAGAAGCAAGGCTGCCCATTCTTGATGTAAAGCAGTGGTTCCCAACCTTGTGTGACCCAGGTGTTCTTGGACCGCAACTCCCAGAAAAACCCAGCTAGCACATCGCATGCCGAAGGCTTCTGGGAGCTGTGGTCCAGCAACACCAAGATTACCCAAGGCTGAGAGCCACTGAGGTCAAGGGACTTCCAAGCAGGTGAAAGCAATGGGGAAAATAAAAGACTGCGGTGTAGCTAGAGAATGTCATCCCAGGACATGCCAGGGGGCCCAGATGGGACATTTGTCCTCCCCATTGATTCACAAGATATAGGAGGCAACAGGGAGATGCCTGGCCCCGGATCGGGCCCGACAGGCCCGATCTCTCTGGACGCCACTCAAAAAAAGGCCCCCTCCGTGAACGGTGGGCTCTGGCACCACGAGCACCTTCTGACCGCCGATACCACCGAGAGCGTTCTGGCTGAGCTCGAGAGGGGAAAAAAAAGCCCCAGAGAGGATGACCAGCAAGCATAGGTATCGGGGCAGATGGCAGGCACCCAGGCCGGGCGCCCGCAGCCTGCCAGGCAGCGCGGCATCCAAAGCGCCTGCTTGCGGCCGCTGCAGCTGCCTTGCAGACGCTCTTCCCCTGCCCACGCTTGGCACCCCGTTCCCTTGCCACCTGTGCCTGCGCAAGTGAGTCAAGATTTCACAGCTCGAGAGGGAGCCCACGCCAAGCCTCGGGTTTGCGGACGGATGGCGGAGCGCCCTCCCTCGCTGGAGAAACGGGGCGAGGAGGGGCGACGCGCAATGAGATGCCAACGGACCAGCATCAAAGGCCCAAGGACGTGGTGTGTTTTTTTAAAGGACCAAGAGGATCAAGGAACTTGCCGTTGATCCCACCAAGTGTCCTGCCGTCTCCTTCTGGTTTTCTACCATTGCTTCGCTTTCCCTGTGTTTGAGCCCCGGCCATTTCCACTCCCCAGTTCCAGTTGGAGCTTTGAAAAGTTACTTTTTGGGACTACGATACTCCCAAATCCACCACCAGTTACCCTGCCTGTGGGATTCTGGCCTCGGGCTTCCTCTAGTGGCCAGTTCTGGTAATAACATCATTAGAAATAACGTATTTTTCCGCGTATAAGATGCCACCATGTATAAGACGCCCACCCCCCCAATTTTCTAATCACAAATTAAGAAATCTAAGTGGGGCTCAACAAGTGGAAAGGAAAGCAGGGATCAAAGCGCTGCAGGATCGCTTTGATCCCTGCTTTCCCCTCCACTTGTGTTTGTTCTGTCCTGAGCTTACTTCAGTGTATAAGACGACCCTCAATTTTTAGTCTAAAGATTTTAGACAAAAGTATAGTCTTATATATGAAAAAATACAGTATAATTTTGGGGGGGATTTTTCTTTTAATTTTTTCAGACCATGGATAAGTGAATCAGTGGATGCTGATCCCGTGATTTTTTTGGGGGATTTTTCTTTTAATTTTTTCAGACCATGGATAAGTGAATCAGTGGATGCTGATCCCGTGGATAAGGGAGGTCCTGCCGCATGTTTAATTTTTTCAGACCCTGGATAAATGAATCAGTGGATACTGATCCCACAGATAAAGGGGCCACACTCGTTTTCTCTTCTGCCTTAACGGTGCTGGATAAAAAGGCTGGTGGGATGTGGCCCCAAACAGCAGCCCTTCTTGTGTGTTGCAAAAGAAAGGACTCCCCCCCCTTCCCCACCCCGGGTACCTTCTTTTCGCACTCATGTCCACCGGCTCGTCGTTGATGTTCTCCTTTCCCGGCCTCCCCGAAGACCGGCTGTCGGCGTGAGGCCGCAGGTTGCCGTTGAGCTTCTCCTCGTAGACTTTCAGGCTGTCCTGCTTGACCGGCAGCTCGTGGGGCACCTCGATGCCGGCCAGGTCCTTCCGCTTGAGCAAGGCCAGCATCTTGAGGCGCTCCATGGCCTCGTGGCCCTCCATCTTGAGCCGCTTGGCCAGCACGTCATCCCGCTCGTCCGCCTGGTCCAGGGTGCGCTTCAAGAGGTTCAGGCGCAGAGCGTCCTCCGTCATGCGGTCCATCCTGGGGCGGGAAAGGGAGGAGAGAGGTAGTGAGAGCTGCTTGTGATTTTTAGATATATCGTTATGCATTGTGGCTTGGACTGAATTTTTAGTACTACTTGCGTTTTCCATTTCTCAGAGTGACTTTAAAAAAATGTTTTGCATACTTATTGATTTTTGCCTTAATGTTGCCTGTTAATGATGTAAGATGCCTCCCTTATTCATTGCTTTAAATATTGTGTTTTAATGCTGTTAAGCACCGTTGTCTACTCATCGTCCTCAGCTTTAAATATTGTCTTTCATTGTTGTAACCCGCCTTGGGTCCTTTTCAAGGAGAAAGGCGGGATAAAAATATTATAAACACAACAAGACGAGGAAGGAGAGATTGCAGATGGGGGGGGGAAGGCAATTTCTCCGTAGAGACCTCTATTTAGAAGCAACGAATTACACCACATCTCCTAGGTAAGTTTCGGAAAAGTTGATCAGATACTCAACAGAGTTCCCAGACTCGGTGGAAGTCTATCCTTGAACCCTGCCTAATGGGAACAAACAACCCTGAGAGGCTATTTGTCTTTCCGCCCTTCTTGGGCTGCGGTACCCTTCATCAGCAGCCACGGAACCGGAAAGTCTCAGAAGAGGGCAGAACAGGACCTGTGGGGGCCTGAGTGCGAGTGGGCAATTCTCCTGCGATGGTCCCACCACCTGATCAGTTCTCCGGGCTTCCTCAGAGGGGGTCTGCCTGCTCTTCCCCGTGACGCCACTGTCCTGCGGTTTCACAGAATCATTACATCCCTACACCAATGAATTATAAACCTCTGCGATGCTTCCCCTTCTAAGGGTTGGTGACAGTCAGAAAAGGGTTTTAAAGCCAAAACAGGCTAGTATTCCTTGGTCCCACCCGTCCATGACAGATCTCCTCTGAAACAGGATTCAGCCTTCCGGTTGAAAGGGGTTCGCCCGTTTGGATTTAAAGCACCCCTCCGCTCCTCCGAGTAGCTTCTCCACAGCCCTCCGAGGCTCATGGATATATTTAATCCAAATATCACCCTTGCAGGGTAATTGGAACGTGCAAAGTTAGCTTCCACCGAGCTGGGAAGAGCTGATCCAGGTAGCTTTGGGGTTGTTCTGCACCAACTGGCTTTGCTCTCCAGAGCTTTAAGCAAAGGCGACTTTTTCATTTTCTGGTACATGATTCTCCTTATGGGAGACCTTGAGAACTGAACCCAGGACCTTCTGCACCGAAGGCTGATGCCCTTACCATTGAACCCCATGTCCTTCTGCAACCATACCTTCATCCGTAAGTAACTAAAATGACACAGAGCGACCATACCAAATGCAAACAAACATTTTCCTCCCTTGGACACCATGTTTAAAAGTCCTTGCTTGCTTTTCTGGGACGCACCTAACACGGTACAATGCAGATTACTCAAGAAGTCAGTTCATACTTGACTCAGGCGCCTTCCGAGTTAGAAACCTTTTAGATGCAGAAAGATTAAATAATAGATGCACGCACAGATGCGCAAGAGAGACGGCTGGGAACAGCTTTCCCGAGGGGCTGACCCTAAAAATCCAAACAGTGAAGATGGACTGAAAATAAGAATGAAGTATTTAAATGTGCAAAGTAGCAAAAACTACAGCCGCTGGGTAGGAAGCAACAGAACCGCCATTGCTGAGAAGGAGGCTCGGGAAACAGGTGCCAGAAGGGGGGGGACCCCGTGGGGGTGCGAGAAGATGCACTAACCGAGCCTACCTCCATGTCCCCGGTCCCAAGCCTTCCCCCTCCCCGAGGTCATCCATGTTCTTGCGCTGTGCCGGTTTGCGCATAACAACTCAAGTTGTGCCTGAAGGCAGACTGGAATAATGACAAGGGAAGTCCAGTCTTGCCCCCTCCCTTCCCAGCAGGGTCCTTCTGCCCCAAGGTAAGACGGAAAGGCCCTTCCAATCTGCCCTGGCCCAATTCAAGAGGTACAGTTCCTCATCTTAGACCTGCAGAACTGGAAGGGACCCTAAAGATCATCCTGTCCAGCCCCTAGAGGGGAGGTAGGGACATATTTCATCCATTCTTGTCAACAGTCCTATAAACACAGCCAGAAGCAGAATCCTCTTTGAAGTCAACAGTGGCTTTCCACCGGATGGCCCCGTGGTTGAGGTCTCTGGTTGTGGAGCTGTAGGTTGGGAGTTTGAATCCCGCCCCGGGCCTCGACAGGGGCTGGACTGGATGATCTTTGGTTTGAATCCCGGCCCGGGCCTCCTTGACAGGGGCTGGACTGGATGATCTGCAGTTCTAAGATGATTATGATTACCCCCACCCCACCCAAAGCCCAGTTGGACGGTACTATGGCATTCTTGTTTTGTTCCCAAACCCACTTCTCCGAGGATAGTTCCTTTTGTCAAACGGCAATTTGGCCTGCCGTTGGCAGAATCGCCACAGCCGAACCCTAAATGGCTACAACAGAAACCCGAGAACATTTTGCTAAGATCCCTTAGAGATCTCCCATTAAGTGGAAAGACCAGAAGCTGAACCTGGATCCTTTCCCTTGCGAACGCTACAGATATACAATTCAATATTTACAGCCGGTTTCTTTTTCCTCTTGATGTTAATCAGCCACCGCTAAACGTAGTGCACATCTTAATGTGTTTTCATCAGGAAGAGCTTCTGCTCAGTGAGAAATTTTTCGGCTGCGACTGAACATTTTCAGAGCACATTTATTTATAGCTAAAACATCTGAATACGGGCATGGTCAATTCTGAGCACCAGCAAAAATCTCCGTGAGACAAACAGAATAAAAATGTCCCAGGTAGCTCACTTGCTGAATAAATCAGATGTTCACAGGTTTAATCCACCCTGCGATAACTTTTTATGGGCGCCCTGGAGGAGAACCGCCCCCATCTCAGGAACAGGCTTAGTGGGGAACACGTTTGGGAGGGAGAAGCCAAAGAAAGACAAGCTGAGACACGCTGGGTTGTGGGGGGGAGATGAGTGAAATATGTTCCTGCTTTTTAAGCATATGTCGCAAAAGCATTCCACTCTGGATTATCATTTCTCTCCTCCATTAAGTGGGCTTGGTTCTAACCAAGTTGCATTAAAAAAAAAAATAAACACACACAAAAGGTCAAGATCAAGATTTAGTTTTGGATAATATCTGTCGTAGCTGGACATTTCTCACGGTTGCGTGAACTAGGACTGAGGAAGCCGCTGCGAGGTGTGCGCAAACACACACACCTGCATTCTCTCATCCAGAATCTCAGAATCATTTTGCATCCAAAGGTGTTAGGAAGGAAAGGAGTCACATCTTGACAAATAGCACAGAACGGTGAAGAGTGGTCTTTTACTTGACACTTGATTCCCTTACAAGCAAAAAAGGTACCCCAAAACACATGTGCCCAAATTCTCAGAGCGCACAAGCGGCGGACACTGTTGATCCCGCGTGCGCGGCTCAAAATGAGGCCGCATTTTTGGAGCACAAGGGAAACCAACCAGTTTCCCCTCAAGTTTGAATGATCCACGGATGTGGCAGCCAGAACTTCCCCAGCGCTCCAGTTGATGAACGGCTTTCTAATCGGTCAGGCTGGCCTGCCACCATTCACTGTGGTTTTATGGAAACACGCCGACCTGAAGCCGAGATGAACCAAGGCACTCCGTCTGTCAACACAACCAACTGTGGTTAGCCGAAGACGGGGTCCCAGAGCTTCCCGGGGTCTCCTCGCCGCCAGAAACAGGTTGCGGAGAACGTGCCAGCCGGAGGCCCGGCGCGCTTGGTTCCCACCGCGTTAAACCGGGTGGTTGGCCTTACACAGGAATGCGACCATCGTCCAGAAGCCCCTGCGCCAAACCTCCCAGCCTCAGCAATGACCTGGCTGCCCTCTGCACAGGACTCCCTTTGTTCGGTTCCTCACTCGGCGCGACCCCATTTAACCCAGCCTCTTCCCATGGGTTTCAGGCAGCTCCTCTGGATTCAGACCTCTGTCCAGCTCATCGGGCCTCGCTCATTATATTTTACTGGCTGCGATGAATCAAAAGTGAATGCGGGGCAGGAGGGGGAATGACCTCAGGGAGCCCAAAGTAACTGTTGCCCTCATCTGCCCCCCTCCCGGCATCCAGGATGACCTTCGCAAATTTTTATTTTTCTTACATGGAAATCACACCTGCTTTCACGCCATGATCTCAACAATCTTGGGGATCCGAGGGAGTCTTTCTCATGAGGGAAGAACGACAGATACGGAAGAGAAGGTGGTTGGGTCTAGGTCTCTGCGCTGAGCCCAGGACGCTTCCCGGGGGAGGGTGGCTTCATTTCTCTGCTTTGCCCCCTCCTGGCTGGCCTCCGAAGGGGGATGTGAGAAGGAAGCAGGAAGGAAGAGAGCCCTGCACATGGTCTTGGGCAACCGAGGGGAAAACATAAGGAAATGATGGATGACTTTCCTGCTGGGAAACCTGACATTGGGTGTTGCAAATGATTCTGGGACCATCTGTAGGAGGAACACGGGGCTCAAACATAAGAGAATGACTCTGCCGTCCATTTGCACATGAAATGTGCACCCAAGGGCAGCCTCCCCATCTGGCTGGCCTCTGTGTCGGACACCATTTCCCATCAACCTAAGGCCCCACGGGCTGGAGGCGATGGGAGACACCATTTCCCATCACCCTCAGCCTAAGGCCCCACGGGCTGGAGGCGATGGGAGCGGCGGTCAAGAGCACACGGAGGGTGTCGGGCGAGGAAGGAGGCCCAACGGTGGCCCTTAATCCAGCAACCTACTCTGTGAAATACATTCTGTGTATGTTTCCCACACCTGTCACCTGAGCACTTGTGTTTGTGGGAGAGGCGGGGGATCCTGCACCCTTCTGCTTGACTACCAAGCGATGGGTGCGTCACCCTTTTAATATGCGTGAAAGTACATTTGAATCTCAAGTCTTCTGGACCCGTCATCACCTCCTACACGTTGGCTATGCCTGTCCTGGATCCTTCTAAGTTCTGTCGTACATTGGAGACACTGCCTTCCACCACCGCCCCCTGATATCTCTCTGACCATCCCCTCCTTTTCAATGCTTCCTGGGGGATGGTGGGAGTCGTAGTCCGGCCCCTGGGAAGGGCCACCAAGTTGTTGCCAGAAATCCTTAGCAAGGGAAAAGTGGACGTCAACAGGAAAGAAGTCTTTCAAGGGAGCCTCGTCTGCCATTTGTTTTTGTTCTAAATATATGAGCGGTTTCTAAAGCACAGCCCACAAAGAAGCATGCAGAAATTCAATTAAAACCTGGTAAGGTCCTTTCTGGTACGCTGAGCCACAGCCCTTCATGCTGACGGTGAGAGACAAAGGGTAGGCTGATCGGATCTTAAAGAGTAGGCAGAAATGTAGGGGATACAAGCACTCTGTGAGATGTTAACTTGTTCTGTGAAGAACCACAAAACCCAGCTGTCACACAGCCCTTGCAAACGGACATACGATTTCCAAGCTTTGGGACGATAGAAAGGCCAGCCAACTCTTTTAACCAGCATCGGAGGAGCAGGGGAAAATGCGACAAATAAAAGCATGACATTTTAAAAACAGCCACCTCCCTCGGGAGTCTGCGCCACCCCAAATCTGGACCCCCACGAATGACGGCACATGAAAACAAAGGAAGCTCAGGTAGGAAAAAGGGATAGAGAGAGAGAGGTAACTACAAAGGAGGAGGATGAACAAAATCCAAAGAGCAAAATCCTCTCCTCTGAGACAGAATCAGAATTTTAGTGCTCTGAACATGAAATAAATTGGATTTTTGCCCCTGGTAAAAATAGGTGTGCCCTCAGCAACGGGTAGACTGCTCCTGCACACGAAGCTCAGCACCAGGAGCTTCCATTACGTAGCATACCTAGCCCTGGTTTAGCTGCTAGCAAAACTCTCAATGAATCATGTTCTCCCAAAATCACCCTATAGGACTTCATGATGGATTGGGAGTTCTTTCCCTCCCTTTCTATAGATATTATACATGTCTCTGTAGACTGAGTCACTTTCCAGTTAAATAGAAACCAGAGGTAATTTAAAAACCAGGTCCTTAGAAGTGTGTGGAGTGAGCAAACACTTCTAAGGACGTGATAGGGAAGTCACTCCTGGCAACCCCTGGGCTTAATTCAGGTTTTTGCCCACCTCACCCTCCGGGCTAGAACCCGATCTTCAAAATGCCTCTTCCATGCTTCAACACTACCATCTCCTGAAACGAAGACACAAGCAGAGTTCTCTGCAACTTTTCTTCTTCTTAGGGAAGCACAGAAAGAGAAGCAGGCCCACCTCCTGTAATCTGTGCTGTGATTCGCAAGCCAGCAGCCCTTTAAAATCTTTCCAGCCAGCGCGATCAACAACAATCAACAAAATGAAATTTTGGAGAGAACTCCCCTTTTGCCAGTCAGAGCTACCGAATCTTGCCAAACATATTGCGGGGAAGGAAAAGAAAGCAGACTAAGTCGCAGCCTTGAGATTCCCTTAGCTCTCCCTCCCACAAAAGATGGAAGTTCTCCCTCCCATTTTCATACCCTTGCAGTCTCCATATGAATATAAGACTTCGCCTCCAAAAAACGAGGATCTGGGAGTAGACTGTAGCAGTATGCTGAGTTAACTATAATAAATCCAGCCACTATTCCATTGCTGTGTTTCCCACACCGGCTCATCGGTTCCTTCTAGGAAACTCCACCCATCACAAAGACAACACATCTTCTTTGCTGCTAATTTTGTGCAACTGGGATTCAAAGGTGGACTGCCTCAGCATCTGGAGGCTCCGCTAAGTCTTCAAAATAAGTCTAGAAATCCCAGTAGTCTGCAGAAATTATTTACCAGCCTGCCAAGCAGCTATTAAACCAGTGTGGCGTAATTGACAAGAAGGCCAAACTAGGCCTGAGTTGAAATCTTTACTGGGCCATGGACACCACAAAAGGATGGAAATGGAAAATCACACATCGAACATTTTATGGACCCCTAAACCTCTATTATGGGTCACCATAATCTAGAATAAGTTGTTACTAGCATGCAGGTATGTTTCATGTCCCCAAATAACACCTTTCTGGAAGCCAGTAAAACCCTCTCACTTTCATGCCTTTGTGTATCCTTTATTTATTTTTTTATTGTAGGACACTGTATCTTTCTGCCCCTTTGTATGTTTACACACTTGCAGGAAGTTTTTCCCCCTGGGAAACATACATTTGTTTCAAACTGCAAAGACCTCTTTTAAAAGACACAATGAAACAGGAAGAGCAAAGTCCACCAAGTCTGGGGTGACAACAGTACAGTCCATGGACCATACACAGCATCCCCCATCTCTCTCTCTCCTTTTAGCAACCTGAGTGCTAAGTTGGCCTCTTTTGACTAGCCTCTCAGACAGTAAGCACATATAGGAAGAGACTTTGGGAAATTTCAAAAATGAGAAAGAAGGGGTGGGCTTGCTACCGTCTACTCCCAGATCCTCGTGGTTATTCTAGCTCCATCTCGTTAGGCCAGGAAACAGGGGCAGAAAGGAAAGGCTCCCTTCCGCGTGGGTCTCTCCCTCCGGCTTCCCTTCAGCTCTGCCTCCAACAGGCTGTCGCATTATCGGAATTCCAAAATCTCTGGCGTGCGCTCGAGAAGTAATTAAAGCTAAGCTCCCCCCTCCCCCCCGTCTCGCTCGCTCTCCGAGCCTACTCCCGTCGGTTGCCTTCCTTTGGGATCGGGAGAGAGGTGGGAGCACAGATCGGGAGGCAAGGCTGCCTGTCTGCCCGCCTGCCCGTCCCCCCCACTCCCCTGCCGTCGCCGCCCGCCCGTCAGTTGCTGCGGCTGCTAAGCCTCCTTCTCCTCCTCTTCGACATCTCCAGCCGGGAGGAAGCCTAAGTGATGTCACCGCCGTAAAAGATACATTTCAAGAGAGAATGCACAAAATGGCTGTCTCCCAAGACAAACCCTTTCCGTGCAATGCTATAAAAAGGACCGTTGTCTAAAAAAGGAAGTCCGGGGGGGGGGGGGGGGCTTGACAGCAAAACGGGACAGGCAGGCGGAGGCAGAGAGGAGGAAAGGAGGGAGGGAAGAAGAGAGATACAAGCAGATCCAAACCGTCCCACCCCATCTTTTAATCTCCCCATTCTTTCAGGACAATCTCAAACCCGGACGCTTTCTCCCGACGCTAGATCTCCTCGCAAACTCCTTCCAGGCACAACTTGGAAAGGGACGCCTCCCGTCCCGGTAAACTGTGGCTTATGTCCTAGGTTTCGGGGATTTTGGGGTGGAGGAGGATGATTTCACGCGGGGAGGGGGGCAGGAGAAGAAAGGGTTCACTTTACAAAACCAAACGGGTCTGCCTTTCGGGACTCCTGACCGACCGGATCTCCCCGGCAGTGGCGGCTGCCCTAAGATGCTCTGTGGTCGAGGTCTCCGGCTACAGAGCCTGAGGTTGGGAGTCTGAATCCCCCCACTGGGTCGCCTCCTGGACAGGGGCTGGACTGGATGATCCTTAGGGTCCCCTTCCAGCTCTCGTTTTTTGAAGGATGCAGAAATTCAGTCGTTTCGGCGCCTTGGCTCTTTTCCAAGGAAAGCCCCACTCTCGTTTTTTTGAAGGATGCAGAAATTCAGAGTCGTTTTGGCGCCTTGGCTCTTTTCCAAGGAAAGCCCTCTCGGAAATTAAAAAAAAAAGGAGGGGGTTTGCTAAGAAGGTCTCTATGCATATGGGAAGAGGCTTATAACTCAAGGAAGCAACATGGAAGGGGGAATGCCTTGGACCAGCTTGGGATAGAAACAGATCTGCCCTCAAAGGCAGGGAAGAGGATTTAAAAAGAAAGAGATCCAGCCATTTAGCCCCAAGAGACTGGGGGTCCACAGCGCCCCAAACACTTTTCCCCATCACCAGGTGCCACATGGGGTGGCTGACATTGTTAGCCATCGAAACACTTCATATTACCCCAAGTGCACTATAAGAACGGCCCTGTAAGGTGGGCTGGCATGAAGGGAAACCGTTGGCTCAAGAGGCAGAAGCACCGGAGGGGTGGGGAAGTGGGGGGTTCTTAGAAAGAGGAAAGAACAGGGGGAAAAAACACACCCCAAAACACCCACAGTCATCCCAAGTTCTCCTGTAACAAAAGGCTAGAATATTTTCTAGCAAGGCTAGAATATTTTCATCTTTCTGGTAGCCCAGCTTGAAATAGGAGAAAGCAGATGTGGGGAGAAATGTCCAGGGAAAGGCGACCAGACAGATCAGCAGCCACTTCCTTATGAGAAACTGTTCTGAGGGTTTGTATTTGGGATGTGGATGTCTAAGGCACGCGCAAGACCCAAAATAGTTGAGATTCTCGCCACCCTGAACCACGTGAAAGCTCTGAAAGCCCTTGCTGACTCCTCTTGTAAGATTACAAGCAGGCAGAGCAAGTTAGTCGACAAAATGGGAGGAGCCGGCCGGACGACGCAGGCTGGAGAAAGTACCCGTCTGCACAATCCCTGATAAACTGACGGAACTCACTGCCTCATGATGAAGAGGGATGCCGGGCACATTAGTAGCGCACATGGGTCTCTAGGTTCCCTGATTCAACCTCGGGCATCAGGAACTGAAACAAGCAGGAGAGGAAGCGAGGGGGAAAACACGCTTTTCTTCTCTCCCAAGACAACTGAGCCTCTGCCCGGTTGGCGTGGACAACCCTGGGCGTCAGGGACCAGTAGCCTACCTTGATAGGAGGCTTGTTTTTCTGTAGCCCGGAGGCGCGCATGGAAATGGCCGGATCTTTACTTTAAAAATAGCATTGGACAACTTGCATGGATCTGATGGGACCCACGTGGGTTTGATACGACACAACTGCATCGAAGGGCTTTTTTCTATATGATGATCTAGTAGTAGCTGTAGGAACTAGTTCAAAGTCAGAAAGTGCCCCTGTGTGTGTGTGTATTTTTTTTGGGGGGGTGCGGCTGTGTAGCCAGACAGGGAAAGGGCTGGGCTAAGACTGTTCACCCCAGTGTGGTCTTTTGGGATATCACAGGGACTTTTGTTAAAAAATAATAACAACGGGGAATCTGTTCTGGTGTAGATTCCTGTTCTGAGTCTGAACGGACCACATCCGAATCTACTGCTTGATTACAGGAACCAGAACCACCTAGCTCTGTTCTCTCACTCCACTGGCGGAGAACTAGGAACGTGAAAGGCAAAAGAGGAATAAAGTCTGAGGGCTGAAGTCTTTCTTTAAAAAAAGAAAAGAGAGGGGGAGAAAGGTGGGATTCATAATCTGCACAGGGTAGAGGATCACCCACTTTTACAACCTGGAGAGACTGAGGTATCAGACTACAGCCATAAACTGCCCCCCCCAGTTGCGATGACTTCTTCCGTGAGGTTTCTGCGGGTTGTGTATCCCCCAGCTCTGCCCCCCCCTCAAAAAAGAGGGAATTTCTTTACGTTCCAGAGTGCAACCGAGATGGAGAAGCTTCAGAGGTCCAGAAGTTTCGAACTTCTAAACTTCTTGGACTTCACGCCCCAGAAATCCCATCCAGCACAGCCGGTGGAGAAGGCTTTTTGGGAAGTGCAGTGCAAGAACACTGGGGTTACTCAAGGTTGGGCATCGCTGGACTACAATGATGGCAGGTCTCTAGCTTCTAAGGAGATCTCTATCTGTCCCACTGGGAGGTATCCAAATTTCACCCTGGGTCCTCCTGTGCCTAAAGCAGGCGTTCTACCAAGGAGTTGCATCTTGGTCTAACTGCTGCCGGGATCTTGATCCAGGCAGCAACCCCTTGACAGGGCAGAGTTTGGGCTGTGTTTTGATCAACGTTAGCCACCCGAGTTCAGAAAAGTTGCTTATCCCCACCTCCAGGACCACATAACTAGAAACCCATTGCTATGCCGGTGGAGGGAATTTGGAAGCGATCATTTTTCTTTTCAAAAAAAGTTTTCCCCAAGTTGGGAAAACAGAAAGGACAGGTTTAGTGCCCACGTTCCTCTGAACGACCTGCTAGTGTCGGGGACAGGAAGGAGGAAAATCTCTCCCCCTGACATGGATCGCCAGATGCACTGGGCTAGTCCTTGTAAGACCACAGAAGGCCCTCTCGGGAGTTCTCATACAAATCATAGACTTGGCCCTTAACTTTTGAGTTACTTCATCTTTATTTAGAACTTTGGTAAAGAAGATTCAGGCTCGAAGGGGCCGTTTACCTCAAACAGCTCCCTGGGATCAGAACAATTTACAGGCAACTATCAGCCATGGGGGAGCGGAAGTGAGCTTCCCGATTCAGGGGCAATCTCCCTCTGAAGACTAGCTGCCAGAGAGAGACAGTGTCAAGTGGGCTTGCTAGTGGGGCTTTTTGGAGGGCTCTGTATTGCCATGTATAGAAAGAAGACACCAGGCGATCCATGGGTCCCAAATTGATCCCATGGTAATCTGGCCAGTCCCAACCCCAGACGCCTTGTTTCCAATGAATGTAGCTCCTTACAAACCCAGTCTCGGCTTTCAACAAGACCTAAACAAACCTTGGCCCCAGAAGACAACAAGAAGTAACAGACCTACGACAAGCATGTACAAAGTGCCTTTCCAGGTCTCAAAAGCAATGCCAGCAGCCCATCTGCTCCGGTATCTCTACAGGTTAACATTGCAGGCAATGCCAAAAAGGAAAAAGGCAGGGTAGCTGAGATAACCATGGGGACAACAACACCTCCAAAAACCAAGACAAGAGCCGAAATCTCATTAGCAAAAGAGAAGAATTTCTCTGATTGTGTCGGAAAGGCAGACACGACAGTCAGCGAGGAAGAGAGACCCAGAAGAGGGACCCAGGAGCTGCTCAAACGGAGATGCCTTTGGTCTTAGGGTACCAAGCGCTGGGTCAAGCGTGGGGGAAGCAAAGACAGGGAAGAGGGCCGGGACAGGAGATTGTCCCCCCCTTCTCTCCCCTTTTCATCTCTTCATGGAAACTGAAAAGCCAAAGTGGTTTGAGCGTCTCTGGGATTCTCCCTCCCTTCTGAGTGAACCGAGGAAGTCGAGGGGGGCAGAAAAAGCACCGTCGGGAGCTCAAAAACCATCCGGATAAAAGTGCTGGTGGCAGCGACAGGGGTGCATGGAGGTTTTTAAACCAGCCTCTGCCCTTTCCTCTCTCTCTCTCTCTCTCTCATCATGGGCATCAGTGACGCAGGCTGCCCTTATATAATCGCCTACGATTTCCTAGACCGCAAGGAAGGCCTAACCTCCGCCCACCCCATGCTGCTGCTGCCGCCGCCCGCCACTGCCGGCCGCCACTGCCACCGCCACCTCCTCCCTGCCGACGCTTTTGTGTGCTCCTCCGGCATTCACTTCTCTCGCTCTCTCACACACGCGCAAAAGCAGCAAGCCAGTCTTCCCGGGCCTTGGCACCGTGCCAGCGCTTTGCCTCCGTCAGCTGGCTGCCTCCATTCACAGACCTGGGTTGTAGCTGACATGAAAAAAGAGAGGGGGGGGGAGAGGGAGAGAGAGAGAGAGGGAAAAAAGGGGGGGGCTTTGCATGTGGGGTGGACGAAGAAGGGGAAAGGAGAGAGAAGGCGAGAGAGAGAGGAGGTTTGGGGGTATACTATCCAACTATCAGCATGCCACTAAGACAATAGATTGCCTTAGCCATATTCGTTCCCCAAATAAGCTACCTTCCTTTTTCCGCGCGTTCCCACACCTCGGCTTCCTCTGTTCCCCCCCAATACCCTCCCCAAAATCCTCTTGCTTTGCAGCTTCAAGACCGGGAATTGTGAGGAAGGGGGTGCAATGGCCAAAAATAAGTGAATTCCTTACGGATTGCCCTAAACAGACGGTAAGGTTATATATATTTTTAATTAAAAAAAATTTTTTTTAAAAGAAGACCCAACGTTCAAGACCTCGCGAGGCTAAAAGAAGAATAACAGTATTTTTTTTTTAAATAAAAGGGGTCTCAGTTCATCCCTAAAGAACCCTTTTGTTTAAAAAATATGAAAGAATTTAAAAATTATTTGTTTTTTGAGGGTTTTTTTGTTTTAAAGAGAGAGTCTCTAAAAGAATACTTACAGGTAGCGTGTTCTGCCTCCCTCCTTGACTTGTCAAGAGGAGGGGAGAGACAGACAGATGGACGGGAAGACGGATCGCGAGCACGCGAGGAGGGCAGTGGGGGGGAGAGCGCCAGGGTGTTTTGTCACGGGAAGCCCCCTCGGCGGAACATGGGCGGCCGAGGCGTGCCATTCCCCTCCAGGGACCTGCCGGAACCCAGTCGTGGAACGGGCACGTCCCTGCCAATCATCTCTGGTGCCGTTATATTAAACAAAAGAAAAAAAAAGGGGGGGTGATGCTTACTTTTACCCATGATGCCTAGCGGGGGCAGGGGAGAAGGGGAGAGGAGAGAAAAAAAATAAAACCAGTTGCAGCCGGTTTGTAACCTCAGGACATGGAATTATCGCTTTAAAAAAAATTAAGCTGGTTGTGGCATGAGAGCCAGTGAGATGCCTGGCGCCCCCCCTCACCCTTCCTTGCCAGCCGCCTGCTTCGCCCGCCTCCCTCCTTCTCTCTTTCTCCCCCCCCCTACACCCCAAGGACTTCCATCATCTCTCACGCACTCGCTCGCTCGGCCGCCCCCACTCCTTAAAAGCATAAGCTGGCACCTGGCCAAAGTTTCCGTCTCATTCATAAGTGTGGAGCTCGGATTTCTGAGGGTCTCCACCCCCCTTTAAAAAAATTAATATAAAATCAGCTCGCTGCCCAAGAACCAATCGATGATGTGAGGCAAGGGAAGTGGGGGACACAACACACTGGACTCCCCACCAAAAAATATAAATGTTTCCCTGCCAGTTGCCCACCCTCCCTGCCCCCCAGAGACACCTTCAACTGGAAAATAAAATAGTAATAATGCGCTGTCAAATCCACTCTGACTTATGGCGGTCCTCTGCCAGGGTTTTCCAGGTAGAGAATACTCAGAAGAGGCACCAAAGGGAACCGCCTCTAGGCCTACTGCTCCAAGCGAACAAATTCGGGAACGACGAAACAAAAACCCGATTCGTGCAATGAGCAATTTCCCCTTTTCCACGGTGAGCCGATCCTGCCAGATGCGTCCCAGGCGATGGCTAAGGCCTCACCTGTCCAAAACGTGCCGCCCACCTCGGCGACACTCGGGAAACTCGGATCTGATGTGGTTCATCTGTGAATCGTGGCCGGCGCCTCCTCTTCCTGCCCACCAGGACTCGGTCTGCGGCAAACTCTTGGGAACGGCCAACCTCGAAGGGCACCCCCCTTTTGTCTTGCAGACAAAATGTTTGGTCATTTTCGCCCAGCGGTCCTCTGAGAAAGCGAAGCTGGCTTGGGAAAGGCTCCCGAATGCTGCATCTTGACCCCGTTGCCGGAAGAAACGTTTCAAAGGGTCCATGTTCCGATGTACTCTCTTGCACTCTTAAATGGCTCGCTCCCTGCCTAAGGGTGAAAAGGGTGGATCGACAAACAGATCTGCCTGCAGATCACATCAGGCGGGCAGAGCTATCGGTCTGCCCTTGGTGACCTGGAAGTCATTTGGGCCGAGGTCCAATTCCAGACTTATTCTTGGGGTGCTTTTACACAGAACCAGGCGACACCTGAATGTCAACCCCACAAAGGGCCACAGGGGTAGGCCAAAGTAATCCTGAGGCTGCGTGTGGCTAGGTTTTTTTTTGGGGGGGGGATTTGCACTCCCTGGCTGCTGATATCTGGGCAAGATGATCAGACTGGGGCAGGCAGGCTTTTCTAACTCACTGAAAGCCGCTGGCTCTCAAATGTAAAACTCTTTTCCACTGGGTTTGCATAGGGCCGAATGACACTCAAGAGAGGAGAAAAGAGGGACTGGTTTAGCCACAAGGCAAATAGGGTGGTAGGGAATGAGACGTGGCCATATCCCGTGCAAGCTGGGGAGTCCAGACGTGTCCGGCTCTAAGGCGCGGTGCTCATCCCCGTCTCCAAGCCGTAGAGCCAGCGTTTGTCTGTAGACAGTTTCCGTAGTCACGTGGCCAGCGCGACTAGACACGGAACGCTGTTACCTTCCCACCGAGGCGGTACCTATTTATCTACTTGCATCTTTACATGCTTTCGAACTGCTAGGTTGGCAGGAGCTGGGACAAAGCGACGGGAGCTCCCTCCGTCACCTGGATTCAATCTTATGAGAGCTGGCCTTCTGACCTTGCACCACAGAGGCTTCTGCAGTTTAACCTGCAGTACCACCATTTATTTATTTATTTATTGGTGATTTGATTTGATTTGTATCCCACCCATCTGATCTATGTGACCACTCTAGGTGGCTTCCAATATAGCGTAAACAACTAATAAAATTTATTTCATAAATGTCCCATAGCAGAATACTATAAGTCCAAGCAAAGGCTGCTTTCCTCCAAAATCTGTAAAAGCCACTTGCCACCACAGGAAAGGAACAATATCACTCACGTTGCTAGGGCCAGAAATCGGATACTTCTTTCCCAACGCATTCAGCTGGATGTATTTCCTAGCTCCTGGTAAGTTTTTGTGATCACCTTTAATGTATGGAGAGGAGCAGCCTCTGAAATTAGGATCCACCATCTGCCCAACCCCTTCTGGGTTACCAAACAGGTTTCATCTCAATGGATTCAAAAACAGTGCTAGATGATCTGGAGCCCTATTGATGTTTACAGACCATAGTCAATATTAATTCTCAACTACTGCCTATGCTGGATGGGATACGTGGAAGTCAACTCATAATAATACAGTGGTGCCTCGCAAGATGAATTTAAATCGTTCTGTGATTAATGTTGTCTCGCGAAAAATTCTTCTTGCGAGACGCTTTTTCCCACAGGAATGCATTGAAATCTAATTAATGCGTTCTTAAGGGAAAAAAAAAAAAAAAAATCAGAACAAAGTCAAATTGGGTTTACAAAGGGTTTATTAAGTGCTCTTTAAAGCCATACATATTGTGCAGATGATTTAAGAATTTCAATCCAAAAACTTTAACTTTTTAAACATCATAGTAAAACATTTAAAAATCAGCAAACATGAGGCAGAAACAAAAAACAGAAAACATTTGTCTTGCAAAGCATGGCCATAGGAACATTCGTCTTGCGAGTCATCAAGCCCATTGACAAAACCCATTTGCCTTGTGAGTTTTTTGTCCTGCGAGGCACCACTGTACCTGGAAGCATCCACGCCAGAACTAAACTTTGTCGCCCGAACTCAGACTGGTGATCATAAGAGAATTCACAATTCATTGGAATTTTTATTTTATTTTATAGATTTTATTTGCCTCCTACCGAACCAACAAATGTTTTCGGAGATGCTTCACAAACACACGGAGGCAGAACAACCAACGGCACAACACACAAAACAAGGAGAGCAGCCGAGACTATCCTAACGTCACCACAGCAGCCTTGCAGATTTGGCAAAGGAAGGAAGGGAGCAGAATCTGGTAAGTGAGATATTTAAGGAGTGTTTTTTTTTACCAGCTCCATACCCCACTGGGAGTTTCCATGGCTGAGCAACGATTTGCACTGAAGCCCCTTGAGTCCCAGTCCATCACTCTATCCACCACACCACACTGGGTATCTAGTTAGCTCATACTGGGCTGCTGAGTCCTGGACCACTAAACATCCCATGTGAACGTGTGACACAGAAGACACATCCTGCAAGTCTGCCCGAATCCCAATTATGTAAGCAGGAAAGTCTAAACTCCGCAGGCTGTGCAAAATCTGGCCAAGTTCAGTGTATTCCCCGACGTAGACCTGCATGTAATTCACGTTGAAGCGTAATAGGAGTGCAAATGAGAGATACGTAGCAAGAATGAGTAAGTGGGGGGGGGGGTTGTCCTTTGGTTTCAGTCATCATTGTCCACAAACTTTTATATTTGAAGGAGGAGAACCTTGAAAGAATGAAAGAAAGAATGAAAGAAAGATAGTGGGGGGGGGTGTTGTCCTTTGGTTTCAGTCATCATTGTACACAAACTTTTATATTTTTAAAGGAGGCGAACCTTGAAAGAATGAAAGAAAGAAAGAAAGAAAGAAAGAAAGAAAGAAAGAAAGAAAGAAAGAAAGAAAGAAAGAAAGAAAGAAGTTTAACTCCTATGACTCTCTAATGCTCCAAGGGAAATTATGTCACTACCAGCACCTCCAGGCTGAAAACAAGCCAGCCCCTAACCAAGGTGTTTTTACGAATTTCGATTCTGAAGCACTGGAATGAGACGTATCCCTGCCTTGCCTCCTTCCATCCTGTCCGGCGCCCATCTGAATGCCTCCAGCCCCCACCCAACCCTGCTGCTCCTTATTTGTCCATAATGGTTGAGAAAACCTAAACAATATGCTATTGAAACAACTAGGCCGTAACTATTTCATGCCGCTGAGCCAGATCCTCTCCCCCCCCCCCGTTGTGAATCATTCCTTAACTCCCTGGAGTCTCCAATTATACCAGGAGCCGGGGGGGGGGGGGAGAAATGGAGTCTGGCAACCCGGTTCGGCCTTCCTCGGAGGCAAGAAAAAGGACTTTTCCCATGCAACCATTCTGAAAGCCAACCCTCTGCCAGTCAGAGTTTCCTTTTCAAGAAAGAAAAATCACATTAAGTTAAGCTAAGAACACCTATGGAGTGCTCATCTGTGGCAAACACACAACTTTCCTAAATAAATGAAGCCGACAGACACAGAGGCTCTATGTGAGCTGCTTCTCAAAGTGCCGAAGACCATCTGAAGAATGTTACTGAAGAATGTCTTCACACAAGCCGCTTCAAGATTGGCTAAAATCTTTGATCGTTTTATAAAAAGTCAAGCTTTTGCTATAGAGGCAATATAGGCTAGAGATAGAGGCTTCAGTGCAGGGGTTGGTAGGTGAGGCTGGTCTTGGCAGCTAACCAAGAAGAGATGGTGGCTAGGGCCACCAAAGGAAGAGGAGAGGGGCTTGTTCTCCTGGAACACTGCACTGGTTAAAGTCTCTGGCTGTGAAGCCAAAGACTGGGAGTTCAATTCCCCACTTGATAGGGGCTAGACCTGATGATCCATAGGGTCCCTTCCTGCTCTGTGGTTCTAAGATGATGATGAAATCAGAGACTATCTCTTCCCAGCATTACACGTGGAGGTAAGGTATCTTGCCAAGTGGGAAACCCTTCCCAGAAGCAAGAACTGGTGGGGAGGAACAGGTACAAGGTCACGCTCTACCTCTGGTCTGCCAGATGTTCTAGACTTCCCCTAGTTCACAGCTGGACAACAGAGGCGTAGGCATACTTGCCTGGCACACATCTGGATTTCTATGGCTTGCGCTTCAAGATAGGAGAACAATTTTTAAATACCTGAAAGATAGTCAAACAGAGAACATGTTCTGCTCTCGATCATCCCTGAGTGCAGGACACATCATATTGGGCTCAAGCCACCGGAAGCCAGATTTAGGCTGAATAACAGGGAAAACATCTTAACTGTTAGAGCACTACAACAACAGCAACAATGACCATGGGAGGTGGTGAGCACTCCAAAGCTGGAGATATTCAAGAGAAAGACGGATAACCACCTGTAAGACCTCCAAGGGCTAATCCAAGTCCATCAACCCCTATAAAGCTCTAACTTGCCCCTCAGTTTCATTCAACGCTGTGTCCTGGATCATTGGTTCAATGATCTCTGCTTTTATAAGACATAAGACATAAGAAATTTATTTGTCATTGCGCTCACAAGTGGGTGCAACGAAATGAGGTGCTCTTCCCCAAGGTAAAACTGGACAACACTACCAATGATCTCTGCTTTTATATACACTGCTGCTTTAAAATCTGGCCTCATTGTCAAACGCATGTCAAACTTCTCCACACCATGGAAGCAGCAAACTGGAGCTGTGGCCTTGCTTAGACTAGCAAGCCTCCTCGCCGCAGTCTGCTCCCATTCTCCGTTTGACAAGCATCCTGTCATCCAGGTTCCCGAAACCATTCTCCACGTCTCCCGCGGCACGCGCCAGGAAGGGAAATACGACCGGCGTGAGAGGCAGAATGGTGCTCCCAGTTAATTTTATTATGTTCCAAACAGTAAATCTGCAGCAGCGAAAAAGGGCGGGGGGCAAAAATGAAAACCTACCGCCGCGAGACAAGTTTTATAATTCATTAAAGTGAATTATTTTGTTCTTCACGAAGCAAATAAGTATCAGGCGGGAGATGGAGGGAGGAGAAATCAGACCAGCAACACAGAGAGAGTGGCTCACAGCCTAGTCAGCATTGAAAACCTCATCTTATGGGCTGTTTCTAGATATCCATCTCACTTAGCGTCGACCGTGCTCCTCAGAAGCAGGACCCAAGACTGTCTGCAAGACACTGGGGGCTGAGTTGCTCCAAGCGCTGCGTTGCTAGGTGGCAAGAACAGACCCCAACAAGTCCACCCAATGAATAGAACAGAAATGCAGCCCAATCAGCCACCCCGTAACAGTGTGCTTGCTGTTGTGTCTCTTTGTGGGTCAGGGCTGTGAACAAAACACCTCGAAATACAGCCTCTTCAGAGGTGACGGACCTCTCTCATCAATGAGTGCGACTGGCTCATTTAATACCTTCCAAAATGGAGATGCAGCAGAAAAACATCACCCTCGGGAGAGGCTGCCCTGTTGTGTCTCTGCATGCCGACTCTGTTCTTTTTTTTAGTCTCTGACTTGGATAACCCTGCCCGGTCTCTGTATAGGCTGCGGCCAGATCAATCTCTCATTCCATTTGCACCAAACTGGCCCTCCTCAGAGGAGGCACCCCGTCGCACCTCTGCATAAGTTCTCACTTTCAGCTTGTCTCCTTTTACTCAATATGCCTGGCTAGATCAGGGCAGGCGAATCTCTGGCGCTCAAGAGGTTCTGGACCATAACTCCCAGAATCCCCAGCCTGCTTTGGCAATGATAATGAGGGGTGGGAGCTATACTCCAAAACATCTGGAATGAAGAACAGGCACCACTTTGAGAGATCAATCTGTGCAGATCGTGAGGCAACCCATGGGCGATGGCTCTGAGAATCCTTGCCTTAATCTTTCACAAACTACACGTGGCACATCGAAAAGTAATTGAAGAGACCTTTGAGGTCATCAGAAATCCCCCCACACCCCAGTACCTGTAAGTCAGGATCTTCTAATTATATTGTCCTTGACAGATGCCCACATGACTGCTGCTTATACCCAAGAACAGATGACCACCTCTCAAAAGGCAGGCTCTCTCACTCCAGCCCAGGCTTGTAGGTTCAGGAGGCTCCCCCTAAAATTTGAGCCCAAACCACAGGCAGTTTTCATCTGTCCTCAGCACCCTTTGCGTGACAGCCGTTTGGATGATTCAATACTGCTGCCAAGGCACTATCTTTAATTAAGCTTGAGGATCCTGATTTAAAACTCACCCTGCTCTACACCCTGGATGATTCGTGCACAAACAAACTTGGGATTTCACTGGCAGGGGTGACAAGCAAGGCCGGGAAAATAATTTCAGATTTTATTTTTCGGTAAGCATCAGTAAGACATTTTTATGAGGCACTCTGAAGGAAGCCAGAAAGAAAACCATCTTGAATTTCCAGGCATGAAAACATATTGACAACTGGGCGATGAGGACTTTCCATGACCTAATTAAAAAAAAAAAGCAGGAAAAAAAAGATGTTGGGCTTAGGGCCACCAAAAGCTTTCAAAATCAAGGGGCAAGAACAGTAAAAAGTGGGAGAAATATTAAAATATGCCACTGATAATGCACAGCTTCAAAGTCTTTTCTGATTCTTGGGATTGAAGCAACCGAGGTGTGGCTGCCCCCTCTCTCTGTGCTTGCCCCACAGCTAAGAAGTAAGGCAAATTTGCCCATTTAGGTAAAAATCAATCAATCAAAGGGAAGACCTATGACTAAATGAACTAAACAGAGGGTTTTCTCAATGGTGTCTGGACAAGCTTGAGGCCCTTTGGATGCAAAGCATCTGCTCAATTTGTTCCTCTGACCTCGAAAGGTGCCACAACCCAGATATTTCCAAGTATCACACAAGGTTGTCAACCTGGTGTTAGAGAGAAGGGTCCTGCATTCACAGGCCCCGTTCAAGAGAAGGGAAGCATGGTGGGCCAATGTGGGTAATGGTCGGAGTCTTGGAGGATGACTCAGGACACCAGAGTTGAAATCCTCCCTCCTCCATCAAACTCCCACTGGCCTACCTCGCAGGGCTGTTTGCTCTGGGGATAAAAAGTAGGGAGGAGTCAAGCATGGTGCATTGTCTCGCGCTCCCATGAGGAAATGCAGGGTGCGAAGGGAACACTTAAATAATCGAGGAAAGGAGTCTCTGCATTTCCTGCACTCAACTCAGCAGCTACAGCCATACAGAGAACAAACTGGGCTAAACTCAGAGGTCTTCCAAAGCCATGTTGTCATTGTAGCAAAGTCAGATCGCACAAGAGTGTGTGGAGAACCCACACATTTCTTTCTTTCTTTAATAAAAAAAGACACAGCAGCTTCAAAACTTTCATTGAGTCTTCCAGTTTATCCAGGCCACTTTACCCTTCTTTTTCATTCCTGCCAGCTTTCTTTCAAACTGGGGCAATTCAAGCCTCCCCACCTCAGGGGCCCACCTTGGCGCCCAACAGAGCCATTGGGGGCCTTATGCATGCACAAACACACACCTCGCTTTACCCTGCCGGCTAGGGTGGAGCCTTGGCATTCCAGGGCGAAAAACCCACCAACGTCTAGGAAAGCATATTCTTCTAGGCTGAGTCGAAACCATTCCTGGGAGAAACGGATTTACAGTATTTCAGTAAAGGCAATCTTCAAAGGAGGAGGGGTACTGGTCACGAACATCTCAAAAATAGACTTTGAAGATGTCAGAGCTAGAAACAGCTCCAACATTAAAAAAAAAGTCTGCATCCTCTCACTACCATGGTTTTAAAAAAAATCAGTGTTCTCTCTATTGCGTCTGTGACCCGTGCGTGCACGCACACCCACCCAGCCTCGGCCCCATAAATCCTTCCCTTAGCCTAGCCCACTGGGATGGAGAAGTGGACCTGAGATGATCTGTCAATCAAGCGGAGGCGATCAATATGCCATCATC